CGGTGGAGTGTGTGACTCTTGATCTCGGGGTCATGAGTTCAAGCCCCATGTTGGGCATAGAACTTACATTAAAAAAAAAGAAAGAGAGAAAGAGTAAAAACCAAAAAGATTTTCAAGAGGATAAGTGAAAGGAAAGAACCTCTATTTGTTAAGCACTTACACTGCATGCCAGCTCATTATGTATATCATCATATTTAATCCCCAACTTACAGATGAGAAAACTGAGAGGAAGTAACTTGCTCCAGATAATAAGCACATCTTGTAAGTGATAAAGCTGGGATTCAAACCCAGGTCTTTTGTCAGACTGCAGAGTCAAGGGTTAATCTACTAGCACTACTTTATTAGCAGGGTGAGCCAGGACTACTGAGCAGTGGCCACCTAAGGTGAGGACTAGGACAAAGGGACAGTGGGAAGGACTGGGCCAGCTTCCAGTGGCCAGGAGCCAGAGTGTGCATCAGGACCCCTGGAGCCCCAGACCTGTGTTTTTTGCCCCTGGGTTATAGTGTAGAATGAAACGATCCTTCTGGGCCCGGCACTCCTGAGCCACCTTCTCTTTCTCCCCACAGTACCAGGAGAAGCAACGGAAGCGTGAGGCTGAGGAGCGGCGCCGCTTTCCCCTGGAGCAGCGGCTGAAGGAGCACATCATTGGCCAGGAGAATGCCATTGCCACAGTGGGTGCTGGTGAGTATCAGGATGCCAGGCAGCACCAAAAGAGGGCGGGGTGGCTCGTGGTCTGCTGTAGTGAGGTGTACATCCTGCTGTCACCGTACCGTGCAGAGGTGGCTATTACAACTTAACATTTGTTGAGTACTTTCTGTGTGCCAGGCATTATGATAAGCTCTTCACCTATGTTGTCGTTTAGTCCTTATAACAACCCCGTGAGGTTAGTACCATTAAATCCCCATTTTTTTAAAGATATTTATTTATTTGAGAGAGAGAGAGAGCATGAGTTGGGGGGCAGAGAGGGAGAAGCAGACTCCCCACTAAGCAGCAGGGAGCCCAACACGGGGCTTGATCCCAGGACTCTGAGATCATGACGTGAGCCGAATGCAAACGCTTAACCGACTGAGCCACCCAGGTGCCCCAAATCCCCATTTTACAGATGAGGAGGCTGAGATACAGAGCACTTAAAATAATCACTCAGGCTGCTTTCCTGTGCTCTAACTCTGAACTTCATCTGTTCCACTGTCCCCATCCTCCACTTTTCAGGTGAGCAGACTAAGACCCAGAGAACAGGAGCTTGTCCATCACTTGTAATGTAGCAACTCAGCCAGAACTAAAACTTCTATCTTTTGTCTCCCAGCCTGGAACTCTGCCACTCTTCAGTATAGTTTGTCAACAGCTGGCTCAATTTTAGGGAAAACATCCTGAACAAGTCTTAAGTACCTTCTTCTCGACCCTAGAAGCTCTTATGTCCCATACTAGGAGCCAGACTGCTCTCTGGTATAACCCCTACTCTAACTGCCCTCCTGCCCATGCAGACCCCACTAGAGAGAATAAAAAACTAAGGTTCTGCTCAAGGTGGTGGGCTCACCTCTATTCTGTGACTCGGGTGCATGACTCTCTGAAGGTGACCTCAGACAGATGAGGCAAGGGCAGAGTAACCCATGCCCAGCTTAAACAAGATATCCCCTAAGGCAGTGCTTCTCAGAGCATGGTCTCTGGACCAGCAGCATCAACATCCTCTGGGACCTTGTTGGAATTGCAGATCTCAGGCCTCACCCCAAACTCTATGAAATCAAAAACTCTGGGGTAGGGCCCAGCAATCTGTGTTTTAACAGGCCCTGCAGGTGATTCTGATGCTCAGCTCAAGTTTAAAAACCTCTGCCCTACAGTGTCTCTGTCCCATTCATGTTGCTTACCCCTTCTCTCGAAGCATTTGGTCCCACCAGATGCGATCCAGTACTGCAAAAGACAGCACCTGATAGAGGTTCACTGATAAAAGAAGACATCAGGCTGTATTGTGGTACTCCTTTGGGATATGGAATGGCATTTCAGCCCCAGGACACCAATTAGAGTAGTAATTGAAAAATGAAGGCAGCCACCCCTGCGACACAGCAAGCCCAGCCTGATCTCCATCCTCCTCACACACCAATGGGACTCATGCGGTGGTCATGAGCCCCTCATCAGGGGCCTGACCTCAGCAGCAGATAAAAGGAGTCCACGACCAGAGCTGCCTCACCAGCTAGAGGTCAGAAGGCTGCCTGTAGCCTCCTGACACACAGGAGCTGAGGAAAGCTTTTTTGAACACACAGACCCCACTACTCAGGCCCAAACCACACTAGGCTGCCCTTTTGTGACTGGATACAGACATCCACTCTCAGCCACCACCTTGAGGGTGGCAGCCCCCCACTTCTTTGCCAAGGCTGTGGCAGAGGTGGAGGGAGGAGAGACCCTGGGAGCTCTTGGGGGTTGAAGAGAAGAGTTGCCCATGGGAGAGACATTACGTGGGCGGAGAGCTCAGAAAGCATCTCCTGCTGGAGTTTCCCGTCCACAGGGGCCAGCACTGCCGCTGCCGTCGTAGTGTTTTCCCTCTGCCTCTTACATGGCCCTTTCCCAGCGGGCTGCCTGCTCCTCTCTGACCTCCTGCTTCTCCCCGGCTTCTCAAGCCCGTAAGAGGTGAAGCTCCCAGAAGTTGGAGGGAGCAGGGAGGAGGACTTGGGATGGAGAGAATTAGACCAACGTGGGTCCGAGAGCAGGTCTGCCGCTTAACAGCCGTGCAACTCTGGCTACTCACTCAGCCTCTTTGAGTGCCAGTCTCCTCACCTGTGAGCTGGGTGAGGCTCTCACAATACAGCACATGCTCTTTCTAGTCTCTGTCCTCAGGATGTTTACCGTCCAGGGTTGGGCATGTTCTGTAGATCAGGCCCACAGTTATTTCCTTCAAGCCAAGACTGATGCATAGTCCCAGCCCCAGGCTGGCCTCTTCCTCTGATCCTACACCGACCTCTGAAGTAACCCACGTTGTCTCTCCTTGTCGTTGGCCCAGAGAAGCGGTAAATGATCCAGCTGCCCACCTCCGAGGGGCTGTCAGAATGTCTGCCCTGAGACCTTCCCTCTACCCAAAGCTCCATTCTGTTACCCAAACTCTGCCTCGGATCAGGAGGGCCCTACACCTTGTCCTGTGTTAGGGAGGTTGACCCTGCTGGGTTTCCAGTGACCCTAGAAAAGACAGACAGGTATTAGGGCCTGAGCTGTGGGCTTGGTATATCTGCTCCATTTGTATGGTGGTAATTGTATGCCCTAGCTGAGAAGCCTGTGGCTGGTGATCACACTGATAATGATCAGGTAATGTTCACCTACCAACCCGGTGAAGCATGAGTTACTTTCTGGGTCAGAATTTGTGGTAGGCAAGCAGCAACCAGTGCCTCAAAGTCTCCAGACTGAAGCAGGTGCAGGAGAGAGAGGCGGATCGAGTGGGGTAGGCCAGGCCTCTCTGGATTCTCTAGGCTAGCATCAGATATATGCTAGGGACTGGCTGGGTGGAGCCTGGCACCCCAGGGGTACCATGAGGATGGGCAGCCAGAGAAGTGCCGCAGAATGAATTGATTTGATAAATGGCCATTTATTACCCACACGAATTGGCTGAAACCAATTTCGGTCACATCAACCCCTGGTAAGTGCTGGGATATTGATTTGTGCAAAGTAATACAGTGAATTTATCAGTGTGATCCCCAGCTGCAGGGCTTCTAGCAAGGCTGGCGCACAGTTACCGCCTTACAAATGGAGGAGATAAAGCACCAACCCCTTAGCTTACGCCCCATGGCCTCTCTGATCTTCTAGGGTCACGGGAGCCAAAGCAAGGCCAGCATACATACCACAAGCCAGAGCGTTGGCACTGAAAGTGAGGGTCTCCTTCCAGAATCCAGAGCTACTCTTAGTCATGGGAGGGGGAGGACACCTAGCCCATTGGGCTGACCTCCTGGGAGCTCAGAGCCTCTACGTCCCACCATTCTCCTCAGAAAAGCAACCAGCTGTCTATTTAGCACATTCAGGGCTAGACTCCACCCCCTTCTTCCTACTTACCCACCTCCTGTGCTCCTACCTCAGTAAAGGCACCACCATTCACCTGGTCTCTTAAATAAAAACTTAGTTCCTTGGCTCCTCCCTCTCCTTCACCCCTAACAGCCCATCACATTATCAGGTTCTAGCATTCTGCCTCTTAAATGGGTCTCAAACTTGGCCTGTCCCCTCCTTTCCTAATACCACAGCCCTTGCTCAGGACCTCAGGATTTCCCATTTGAACCATGTAGTGGCCTCCTCCCTGGTCTCCCTGCCTCCTTTCGTTCCCCTGTAATCATTTCTCCTCCCCAGCTGAGTAGGCTTTGTAAAATGTGAAAACTCCCCTGTCTAAAATCTTTGGGTGGCTCTTGCTGCCGTAGCCCAGGGTACAAGGCCCACCCGGGCTGCTGCGCCCCACGCCCCCGGCCGGCACGCACACCGGGCTGCTTCTGCTTCCCTGGACGTGCTGTGTTGATCTGCTTGCATTTGTGGGCGTTGCCCTGCTGCCCTCTCTGCTTGGAATAACTTTGCTTCTGGCCCTTTCCTGACCCCATCTCCCACACTCTGGCTGGTTTTTACTTAGCCTGACTCAGTTCAGGAGCAATAGACTGTAGACTCCTGAGAGCAGAGACCATGACTGAATCATTTTTGTTTTTCCAGTTCCTGGCACAGCACTCTTCGTGAAGTAGATGTGTAGTGCAGTTTGTTGAAGTAATTTGGTTGGGCCCCTGTCCATCTCTGTGCTCTGAGGAAAGGAGAGAAGCTGTAAGCCTACCCTCTAGTAGCTCACAAGCATACTAGGAACATGAGTGTATTGAAATAGTAACAACACTCACACTACTTGACCTTTGACCCCTCCGGTGGACAGGCCATTCCCCAGTCCCGCTCTGGGTTAGCCTGCACACCTGGAAGCTTCCCTGCAGCTCCCTCTAACCAGGGGCTTATCACCAACACCCATTGTACCTGTTCCCACTTGACTCTGAAGCCCATGAATTCCCTCAGAAAAGCTCAGCCATCACAACTCATCTTCCATGCTGGGGTCTGGCCTGAATTCAGAATCTCAGCATCAGCCACGTGACACACAGTGGGCTCTTTCGTGCTTTACTTCCCTTTTTGACAGTCCAAAATCGTAATTGCCCAAGCCCTGCAGCTTTCTGGACCCCCCTCAGAGTCCTGTTTCTGAGCTAAGATACACATCCAGGCCATCCCTGAGTCATGGCGAGGCGGTGATTAATTTAGAAAACTGCTTGCAGTCCCACCTCCACCCCATACCACTTCAGATGTTCTCGTTGTCCACACCATCCTGCCCTTTCCCTGGCCTGCCGAGATACTCAAGACCCAGGGCTTCTCCAGAAAGCCTTCTTAGTCCCCCGCCAGGACACAGGGCCCGTTCTTGGGGCTTCCCATGGACACCTTTCATCACTGCACTTACCACAGGACATCTCTTTGAATGTCTCTCTCCAAAGGTCAGGAACTACCTCTCGTTCAGCATTTCCCCAGGGTTGGGCACACAGGTGTGTGTGCTAAACTCGAGTGAATGAAGCCTGAGCCCCTCTTGACATTCAGCCTCTCTCCAACACAGATTCTCATCCCAGCCTCCTTCTGGAAGGGTGGTGCTCTTCCTTCCAGTGATTCCTGCCCCAGCACACACATGCATGCACACACACCTGGGGTGGAGGGTGTTCAGCAAAAGCTATTTACATTGTTTATATGTAACCACTCAGTAGCAATAGTTTGCCTTCAGAAACACTAATCCTTAGAGACTAAGAAGAGAACTGTTCTCTCATCCTCCCAACCTGAGGCTCCAATCAGTATCCATTCTGACAGCAAACACTTCTTGAGCACTTGCTGTGCTCTCCGAACCTACAAGCTGTAGACAGGAGATTGCTAAAGATATTCAGGTGACTCAACCACAAGAGTTCCTCTGAAGGACTGGTTCCCCTAAGAGATGCCACAAGCATGGGACAAACATGTTCCAAACATGTTAGGCTAAAAAAAGCCTCCCACACCAGATCACTAGAACTTACCAGGAAGGAGGAGTCAGCCCACCCAGATGGCCTCAGAACCTGGAGCTGGACGGAGGCAAAGGCCTGGGATGGGAGGAGGAGGCAGCTGTCTCCTCTCGCTTTGGTTTTGCACATGATGGGTCTTTCTGTCTGGAATGTCCATCACACCCGTACTGCCTGGCAGTGGCCCCTCATCATCCTGGCAGGTGTCAGTCGGGCACGAATGGATCTCCCTCACTTCTCCCAGGACTCCCATCCCACACAGCAGCGCTCACCTAAATGGCACAGACCTTTCTTTAGCCCAGCACCTGGCTCAGAGCTTGTTTGCTGCACAGATGGAGAAGGCTCCCTGGAGAGGGGTTAAGAAGAGAGAGGAAGCCTTCTTCACCCACGGGTAGTAATGACCGCTAGGAGCATTGAGACTCGGGTCCAGGTCTCACTCTTCTTCTCTGTAGAATGGAAATCGAAGTATCTGTTTTTTCCTCCTCGTGATTCCAGAAAGACCAACAATTAATTCATTTAGTCAGCAAGCATTATCCCACCTCTGGGCTAGTCCCAAGGGTCCCTCAGGAAATGAAGCTCCTAGCACCTGCTCTCACAGGTTACCCAGCCTGAGCACACCCTCCTCCAGGACACCAAAGGCGCAGGTGGATGAAACGCCTTGCACTGCCCCTCACTGAGCCCCCGTCTTCTCTTCTGTAAAATGGAGGTTAATACTGCTCGGGACTAGCACGAGGATGAAAGAGGTATGTGTCCCATACCGCTACAGCTGCCACTGCTACTGTGACTACTGTGGCTGGCACTTTTCTGATGATCGGGCTCATACAGAGTGCCTTCATAACCCTGGGCTCATTTCATCTACGTGTGGGGCTGGCATAGCATGTGTCTGAGCATTCCTGTTTTATAGCTGAAGAAACCAAGGCTCTACAGGAGTGTATTATTCAAAGCCAGTTAGCTAGAAAGTGGCAGAGCCAGGACTCCAAACTAGATCCTATAACTCCTACCCTGTCTACCGTACCACCCTGTAGGTGAAGTGGACCAGAGAATATAGACCCTGGGAGTTAATGGAGTAGAGGTGGGGTTGGATCATCAAAAAGGTTGCTGCATGTGAGTTTGAAGATGGTCCGGTAGTGGTGGGTGCAGCCGGGAGAAGGCGTTCTGCTAAGGGGAAGAACACAGCAAGGAGGCACTGGTGCTGGCCCAGCCTGTGGAGAGGCAGCTGGGCCTGTGGGAGCTAGCAGAGATGGGACCGGCCAAGGAAGGGGCTGAGCTGCCTGCTCAGGGGACCCTGACACCATCTCAAGCCCAGAGAGTAGTCAGGAGACAGTCAGAGGACAGGGGCTCCTGAGGCCATGTATCAAAGGCTGAATGAGCTAGACTGGAAGCTTACAGAAAGACAAGTTTTCTGGGTGAGGCTAGGGTATGAGGAGGTGCTGTGGCCGGGGAGGGCTGACTCCTTTCTTTAAACTCCTGAAGCACAAGTTCAGGCTCGCGAGTTAGCCAGAGCTGAGGGTAAAGCCCAGGGCCTTCATTTGTTTACCTGTGTAACCTTGAGCAGGTTACCTAACTTCTCCGCACATATTTCCTCATCTGTAAGAAGGGAACCAAGGGACGCCTGGCTGGCTGAATCGGAAGAGCATGCAACTCTTGATCTCAGGGTTGTGAGTTCGAGCCCCACATTGGGTGTAGAGATTACTAAAAACTAAATAAACTTAAAAAAAAAAAAAAGAAGAAGGGAATCAAATTCCCTGCCCTGCCAGCTTTGTAGATTCATAATGAGGCTCAAATGAAGTTATGTCTATGGAAGTTTTTAATAGACTGAAAAGTCTAGCGGAGTAAGTTGCTGCATTTGCTCGTCCACAGTGAGACATCAGTACCTATGGCCACGTCTCCAGTGGCCCATCAGTGTCTCTGCCCCAGCCTGACAGACCCTCAAGGCTCCCAGCCGTGGTCATCAGCCACCCTGGCAGCCACACACCCTGGGGGCCTGCCTTCCTCAGTCTTTCCTAGCTGCTTCCATTTTTCATTCTGTCGGACTCCATCTGCTTGGTCGTTTTTCTCTTCAGATATTATTAGAAATATCCAGAGTTGTAATTGTTTAATGGTTGGCATTTCGCCTGTTTCACAGGGGGCCAGATCAAACCCACCCCAGACTCATGCCCCGGGTCTGGCAGAATTGGCCAGGGACAGCTGTGCAGTGGAGTCTGCCTGGCATTATAAAGAGCTCTCTCCCAGGTGCATTATTAGAAAAGAAGGGGGAAAGGTGGCCCCAGGCATAATCCAATTCCACCTTCTCCATGGCGTTTTTGAACTGCATAGCCCAGCAGTGTGCAGCTCTCAGTGGCTGGGAAGCTTTCCTGAAAGAGAAATCAAGATCAGAACCTCAGGTACCTGACACCTGGGGAACCCCACTTCCCCCAGGCCACCTGTCTGAGTGATGCCTGGGCACTTCTGCCTCTCCCAGATACCCCATGAAGCCTGAACCCAGTTCATGCTCAGCTTCTTTCCAACCTACCTTCTCAGTTCACCCAACTTTTGGAAGAATGTGATTCCTTTCAGATAATCCCTCTCTCACCCCTGCCCCAACACACATCTACCTAGAGCGTCCACAGAAGTCTAGCCTTTGCCATTTATATCTCTGCCTCCTCAAAAACCCCACCCATGGGTTCTTGTTTCTCTCGGGGCACTGGGGACTCCCATCTCAGCCAGGCTTGGACTACCCCTCATCATCCCCAGCCTTCAGGTACCTGTGAGGCTGGTGGGTTCCTCTGAGAGCCAAGCCTTCCATAGGGCTGGGTCAGCTAGTTTAGAGATGATCTGGGACCTTGCCCAAGGGAGAGGCTGGACTTGAGTGTTTTATCAGGGGGTGTCTCCCAAGAGGTTGCACTTCCATCTGTTCCTCCTGAGGCCAGAACTAGAAAGATCTTTAGGTAGCAGCGTTTGAGTTTGAGGTGAGAAAGGCCACAACACGGACCTGAAGTCCTAAGGCAGGTATTTGAGACCATAATCTGACTCCACCCACAACTACTCATGTTCATTCTTGTCTCTCCACCTATGTCATGCTGGCCACCTTTTTTCCCTCCAGATCTTTCCCAGTCTCTACGATCCCTCATCAGTCCCACTTCTTCCAGAAAGCCATCCCTGACCTCCGCAGCTACTTCTCTGGAACCCAGCCATACAGATTGTAGCATACAGTATAGCGTTTAGGATCCTTGTACCTCAGTACTGGCCAATACTTCCCCAAGACCACCAACTCTTTCTCAGTTGACTTGTTTTTCAGGCCTTGTCTTCTGACATATATCCCTTTGTTTTCTCCCCCTGACACTGAGAACCAGGCCATACATGCAGACCAACCCTGACATAACACAGTGCTCTGTCCCTTGCTGCTTCTGACTGCCATGTTCCCATTAATGCAACCCAAATTGATACTCACTTTTTTAAAGCAGCTGTATATGAGCAAAAAAAAGAAATGTTTAGAGAGAGAAGAGACTCTACCATCTCTACCAGTCAACTAGTAATCTAGTTGTATGACTTGGGCAAGTCTCTTTATCTTTTGCCTCAGTTTCCTGTTTAGTATAATAGAATTGAGAATAATACTTTCCCTCTCATGATGTTTGTGTGGGTCTTGAGTAATAAAAAATGTTGACAGTTTTTCCAGTTGTGCCTAGCAAATAGCATGTTCAATAAATGGTTGTTCTTCTAATGGTTCTGCCTCATTCCTCCCCCTGCTCTTCTGCTTGAGTGACGCCTCTGAGCCTGATTCTCCCACTCCGTAGTTAGGCACTTAATTTCCTCACCTTGAATGCACAGCCGTTGATTATATATATACTTCCTCCTGAAGAGGAGCGGTCAGGTCTCACTCGAGCAAAGCTGAACTCCCAGGGAACCTAGTACAGATCTGTCCCACTCCCCCAGCACTGCTCCCCACTGGAGGCCATGGTTAGTGGCAGTGCTAACCGAGTGGCTCACCCGTCTGTGCCCTGAGCTCCACACTACCCTTGACTGGATTCCAGAAAGTACATTTGGCTATACTTCCAGACAGTGGACTAGATCTTGGTTTCCCCAAATGGGAGAGTCCAGAGCTCACACCCCAGATCCCTTAAGGCCTGCCATGGGCTTCTGTCTCTTCTGTTTGCATAGGAGGCAGGCTCAGTCTCCCACCAGTGGTGAGTAGATGGGGAACCAGCCATCTGAGAGCTGAAGTTCCTCTTGAATTCTCCTTCACCAGCCCCCTACCCCTCCATTCACCATCCACCCGCCTTTCAGTTTCCCTGGCAACGCTGAGTGCTCATCCTGGAAAACTTTATCCGAAATCTGCTCTGGGCAGCTTTCCAAATCCATGCTAACCTGATTAGGCGTCTCTAGGGGCCTTGCCAGCTAATCAGATTAGGCAGCACTAATGGTAGTGAGGACTTTGAGTGGGCGCAGAGCAGTAAAACATATTGTATACTTAGTGATAATTATCCTGCCTTTTGTGTCATTGATTTATCTGCCTCCCTCCCTGTCCACCCCCCCCAATCTTGTGTGTTTGGCCCTAGCGATCCGGAGGAAAGAGAATGGCTGGTACGACGAAGAACACCCTCTGGTCTTCCTCTTTTTGGGATCATCTGGAATAGGTAACTGGGAACAGATTGGCAAGAGGGGGAGGAGAGCTGGGGGAACCCTAGCTGCTATGGGCCAGGGTCACACAATCCACTGCTATACAACTCCAGCTCTGAAAACAACCACCTCCAAATTACAGAGCTAGCAAGAGGATTATCTGTCACATTAGGAACAGCTGGAATTATGCCCCTCTCTCTGGAAGCTGTGGTGCAGGGCCTACGTCACCTGGACGACCAGGCCCTTTGGGGTTTGTTAGCCCTGGTCCGGCTACTCTGCATCCCCAGAGCTGCCCTTTGAAATAGTTGAACCACCTCCACTGCCCAGCACACCAACCTTATTTAGTGCAGCTTGGGGCATAACCTTCTAGGAAGCTAAAGAAAGCCCCTCATATGGCCAGCACAGTGTGGAGTGCATCGCAAAATTGGTTTCAGTCAAATGCATTGGGGACTTCTCTAGTCAGTTTGGCTGGATTATCTGAGGCATTCTCACCCCCTTACTCTCCACCCTCACAGAACCCCCACCTGCACCACCTCCTCCCACCATTGTCCTGATGGGGAGTTTCATGCATTTGTTGTCTCTTCTTTCCCTCTTAGCATCTTTATGGACCTACCACTCCCCCAGAAGTAGGTTACCTCCATCTCACCATGATACTGTAGAACTTGATTTCCTCTGCTAGAGAGTGACTTCCAAAGGTTTGGCCATCATACCAAATGGCCCTTCAGAGCCACCACTTTGGTATTGTCATTCCTTCTTTATGTTACAAAGAAAGGCTATGAGGCCGAGGAGAGGTGTTCTTAATCCCCTCCCAGCCTCTGTTCAGTCTATGGCTCCAAGGCCTGGCTGGATGGCAAGACCATGAGTGTCTAAAGAGATTCAGTGCAGTGACCAGGAAGTCACGGTGCTCCTATCAGAGGCAAGGTTTGCACTGGGCTTCAAAGGACAAGTTGGCTCTGGATTATAAGAGTCCAACTCCCACTCTTAGGATGCTGCCATTAGAAAAAAAGTCTCAGTCTCCATCCACAGAAAAATCAAGATGCAATGCAGACTTTGATTCTGGTTCCAGCTCCACCTTTAATTCTCCCTCCAATGACTGGGAGAGTCACCGACCCTCCCTGAGCCCATCCATAAAATATATTATTTCCAATGTCCATGCATTTCTAATATTCTTTCATTCCAGAAGACAATCATTTGGTTCTAACCCAACACCTCTCCTTTCCTTCTTATTAGGAAAGACAGAGCTGGCCAAGCAGACAGCCAAATATATGCACAAAGATGCCAAAAAGGTAAGAGCTGGGATGTAGGCCTGATGTGCAGGCCATGGAGACCTCGCCACTACTGCTAGCCCCCCAAAATTCTAGGCTCCCTGAATGTGGCAATAGTGAATCAAAAAGATGGACCCTGGTCCAGAAAGCAGGCCTCAGTCTGGCCTCAGCTTGGCCACCAATTGTTCCAGGAATTTGGGCAAGTTATCCAACCTCCTTGTACCTCAGTTTATTCATCTATGAAACAGGAAAAATAATCCTTGCCCTGCCTGACTGCTGGGCCATTTGGGAGAACCCAGTGAGATTCATCCATGCATTTTCAGGCATCTACTCTGGCCAGGTATTGTACTAGATCCTGATAACTCAACATTTAGGACACTCCCCTGCCCTGAGGAACTCAGGCCAGAAAGGGAAACAGCTTTAGAAACATATTATTACTATCTAGTACGTCAAGGCCGTGCCAGAGAGAGTCTTGGGGCCTGTAGAAGAAAACAAGTAGGAATGACAAGATGCCATATTGCTTCTCTCCGTTGTATATGAGCTTTTATTTTTTTTTTTAAGATTTTCTTTATTTGACAGAGAGTGCAAGCAGGGGGAGCAGCAGGCAGAGGGAGAAGCAGGCTCCCCGCTGAGCAGGGAGCCCAATGCGGGACTCGATCCCAGGCCTCTGGGATCATGACCTGAGCCAAAGGCAGCTGCTTAACTGACTGAGCCACCCCGGCGCCCCTGTATATGAGCTTTTATTTATTTATTTATTTTTAAGATTTTATTTATTTGACAGAGAGAGACACAGCAAGAGAGGGAACACAAGCAGGG